TGTCCTTTAACAGTCAGGATACTTGAAATTCACTTATCTGGGACTTAAGACAATGGTCCCAAGGTAAACAATAATCTGTAATCCTGATGGCAAATACTTACTTTAGAGGACCAGATGATCCTTCTTACGGTGACATGTATAACAAATTTTTGATTTTTCATACTGTTATATGTTCATGAAAAATTATTCTAGGTTCTCTTTAGTTGGTTTTTAGTATGACTCACCCAAGCTCACCTACACATTGCTTTTGATTTTTAATTACACCAACTCTACATTGTTTTATTTTTTATTCACCATTTTGCCAAATACCTGCACCAGCTATCTACAATGTTCACATCAGGGATGTAACCTCTGTTCTCTTTGTAGATCATGAACTTTGTTCAGGATATTCAAAAGCAATGCAAGGACCTTCATGTGTCTCACAAATGCTATGGGGTGGGCGGTTCCCAGGCCTCTAGTACCACTGACAGAATGTAAGTGTTTTATTCTATTGACAAACATCTCATTATCCAAGAATAAATAGTAACATATGATCCAAAGCCTGAGCAACTCTGTAAGTAAATGGATTTTGGTGTGTCAAATTCCTTAAGAATAGATGGATCACCAGTAAAAAAAAATTTTTCATGTTTTATCATATCCATTCATTATTACTACCCAGACTTAAACAAGAAGTCCTTTGCAAATAGCAATGAAAAACAAATTGTTATTGACTCTTTCCAAACTTAAATCTTCATTGTGAAATTTTAGTTAGTTTATTGTTGACTATTTTAATGAAATTGTTATAGTGTTACATATATTAGTATAACATGCAAATGGACCTAAGGCTGGTACCCAAGGGATATTGATACCTACTTATATGCATATTTGAGTTGCTAGATTACTGTTGGAGTGTTAGTATGTTGTACAATGTGGATTTGGAAGTAACGCTTGTACACTGTTGCCATTTGGTTTCACTTGTTATTACAGCAATGAAAACTCAGCATGTGACTCATCACTACCCTGCTAGTATGAACATATATTATGTATCTTTGATACAACACTTAAAATGGCTCAGTGATGGTTGTAATAACCAAAGTTCTTTTTAAAAATAATTTTGTTACTAAAAATTTGAAGAAACTTGTTCAAATAACTTTGAGTAACTTGAATTTAAGGGCCAGGATTTACTACGTTGGTTATTGGTGACTTTATATGTACATGTAAATACAATTCCATGTGAGTGGGTTCTATCAAAAAACTTGTCAATATATACTCCTGAACCATTAGACATTTTCTGATGATCATCTATTGGACAAAATATACAGAATTGTAGCAGTCCTGCCGATACATTGCACAGCTGCAGTGTGCTACTTTACTGGTTGAAAACAATAAGATTGCAATAATTTTCGCAGCTATATTTGCTGTAGTGTACATCTACATCATTTGTACTTTGAAAAGCACATCACTGTACAACAATGAATGCTTGCCTGTTCAGAGATGGTGCACAGAAAAGTTCTGTGACAAACAGAGGGCATGGACTTGTACTAAGTCCTTGTGGGGTTGTTGTCAGAACAGTTTCGAGAAGTATAGGGTACATACTATGTTTTATAAGTATGAATATTTATGTAAATGAATTATGTAAGTTATAGAGACAAAGAGCACATATATAATGTATGTACAGAATATAACATGCTTTCAGGAAACTTATCAGTATCTGATTTCAATTGCATTTCTCTTGTTCCAGTCCTTCACAATCTAAAAGTGGTTTCTATGGAATTGCTTCTCAAATGAAGCTTTTGGTGGACACTCCAGAGAAGGTCCTGCTTGGTTTGAAGTTTTTTTTAATGGTGTCATTGTGAAATAGAATAACTTTCAAGTACATGAATTTCATTTTTATTCTCAGGCCAATCTGGGCATGTAGTTGCTCTTTTTACTTACATCAGTCTCTAAGCCTAATTTGCTGTTGTCTTAAAACTTTTTAAACAGGTTTGGAGTGCATTGGAAAGAAAACAGTACCTAAAAGCAGCTCAGTTGTATCTTTTCTCTCGTCACATTGTCAGCCTGCTACACATTGATACTGGAGACACATCTGCACCTAAATTACTGGTGGGTATTTTTTTTTTCCATTGTTACAATGCCACTGTACATTTCTTGTATACACAATGAAAGATATAATAATTTCCCCCCACAATGCTCTAATTGACGCATTTTGCTCAAAATGTTGTACTTTTAACACCCAAGATCTACTATGTAAACATTCCACTCTGCACACTGCATAATGTCTGTCACACACTTCCTATAATTTTTGGTATGACATTAAATGTTTTCTCTTAGTTGAAAAATTCTTCATATTGTTGCCTTTTTGATTGGAAATGCTAGCCTAAGGGGAGTAGGGATAGAGTGCTAGCCTTGATCCCCAGGCTTGGTGTCATGTGTGGGTTGAGTTTGTTTTTGGTCCTTGTCCTTGCTCAAAGTCTACTATAACATCAATAATGTGGTGAAAAATTCCTTCCTGGTCACTCCTGGAAGTGAAAGGGTTTGCTTAAGTTCAACCACTACATCTATTAATTAGAAAAAGGGTTTGATTTGGTGATTATTTTTCAATGTATCCTCCTCAGTCTTCATTCCCAATCTTGCCAAAACAATGGGCAGCAATCAGTCACTTCAAGGACTCCATACTTCAGGTATCATCATGAGTTTCTTTTTTTCCTTTTTTATTTTTCTTCAAAATTTTTTTTTAGTTTTTTTTTTAAATCATAGTGAGTGCATGTTGAAGTAAAAGATAAATTTTAGGTCATAATTTCAAACTAGTTTCATTTGTTTTGTGCTTTGTGCAAGGAACAACAGTACCATATTCCTTAAACAAAGAAAATGTAAACCAAACTTGTTTGAAATAGGTGTAACCTCAAACAGTTTCAACCTAAACATGTATTTGATGAAATGAATTGAAAAAGAAAGTTTTTCCTACCAATGAAATTGTTGTAAGCACCAGTTCTCTGAGTATTTTAACATTGACCCATTTTAATTTAAGGGAAGCCATGGTCTGTTAAAGGATGCTGCTCAAACTGAAGAGGTGAGACATCATTTATGGATCATTTTTGGACCAATTACCTCCTCACTCCATTATTTACAATTTATATATTGCTGCCCCTTAGATGCTTGCAGAGTCATTGTGTGCAATCCTTCTGTTGGAGGAGAGCTCACCTCGCCAAGTCCTGAGTGAGTTTATCTTGGCAAGGAAAGCAACATTACAGGAAATCTTTCATCCATATCAACATGGTAAATACAGTTTTTCTGTAACACAGTCACACCTCATTTGGCTGACATTCTTATTAGTGGTTAGCTCCCCTTGCAGTCATAGTGACAAAATCCCGTTTGGCTGGTTATCTGCAAAGTGCATGTACATACATGTACTCTGTTTCCTAGTTGTGAGCACTGTATTCCTATTGGGCAGAAAAGTCACTCCTCTGATTTGGGCATATACTAGGATTATATAAAATTGTACAATGAACTGAATTATACGTGCCTTTTGATTGGTTTTTATTTATGATCTATTGGAAGACAGACATATTAATGATGTCACTATCAACAACATTTTCCTTTTTTTGTTTTATAAAACCAAAAAGTTTCATTTTGCCATAGGTCTTTTTAGTATTGGATCACAGAAGACAACAAAATGTGATAAGAACACCAGTGGCACACTTGCCGTGTGTGGTGCCTTTTTTGTTCTTACTACAGCACTGCACATTTTGACATCTTTTATGATCTTGTATTGAACAGACACATGGCAAAATTGAAACTATTGGTTGAGTGCATTACAAATTTTATCATCCAAGATGCCATATAACATAAATCATATCATGATGAGTCTGTTCCAGGCTCTCAGAGCAGACAGAGGTGGTTGTGCAAGAGATACAAGGATACCAAAAAGTCTACCAGGAACTTCTCTTGATTTCACCTTGTAATAATGATGGTCTCTTCCTTCTCAGCCACCAGTATCAAGTCCCAAGTTTGTGAAGTTGTTCAGGTGATTCAAAGAAGTCTTTACCAAATACACACCCTGTTCTGCTGTGAT